GGGGGGGTCCTGGAATGATTTGCTCTTTTTTTTTCAAGTCAAACAAATATCATCCTTATCACTCCTCCTTCTTTTCGTTGTATGTTAATTGCTACCGGCGCTTCTAATCTTTAGCGCTTGTATGACCAGCAGTCAAACACACACTTAGTGAAATTGGTGGGTTGCAGAAATCTTTTAAATGAAGGAATTTTACAGTATATGTGTTTTGAGGGCTAAGAATATATATACATATTAAAGAAAATTACATTACCTGAAAATCTGTTCACCCTGCGTGTTCTGCTATTTACATGTTCGTTTTGTGTGTGCGAGACTGTATTTGTGTTTTAAGTGCCGTAAAAGTCTTGGTAAAACTAAAGTTTAGGACTAAACTCTCTCTCTTTGCTTATGTCGCAAGTGCCTTAAAACTCTAACTAAAACTCGCTCTCCCTTTCCCTCCCCTCTCTGTGCTGTGCACTAACAGAGGTGAAGCTGTGTGGCCAGCCGTTGCTGCCCTCCTCCAGGTTCTCCTTCCAGGTGGGTGAGACAGTGGAGGTGGCCGTGAGGCTGGAGAATACGTCAGGTGAGTCGCTCATGGTGGGTGTGTGGGTGTGTGTGCGGGGTGTGTGTGTGGGGTGGGGGGGAGCTTGTAGTTGGTTGTGGTGGTGGCTTCTAGTTTTGTAATTGTTTTTTGTGGGTTTTGGTTTGTTGTTGTTGGTAGTTTTGTGTTGGCTGGATGTGGTTTTGGTTTTTTGTTGTTGGATTTATGAGTGGGTTTTTTTTGTAGTTGGTGGTGGCGGGTCCGGGTGGGGGGTTTTTTGTTGTTGGTGGTGGCGGGTCCGGGTGGGGTTTTTTTGTTGTTGGTGGTGGCGGGTCTGGGTGGGGTTTTTTTTGTTGTTGCTGTTGGTGGTGGGTTTTTTTTTGTTCTTTCTGGTTATTGATGGGGATGTTTTTGTTTTGGTGGTGGTGATGTTTTTGTTTTATTGGTGAAGGTGGTAAATTTTTGTTGTTATAGTTGATGGTGGTGACTTTTGTTGTTGTTGTTGGTAGTAGTGGTGATGGTTTTGTAGTTTTTTGTAGCTGGTATTCTAACTGTTGTTGCTGTTATTCCAATTATTTTTTTGGTTGTGGTGGTTTTGCTATTGTTGTTGCTGTTAATGGTAGTTTTATTATTCTTGTTAACAATGTAATTGCTCTTGATGCTGTTGGTGCTTACAGTTTGGTTGTTGGTGGCGGTAGTAGTAGTAGTATTTTGGTTGTTGGTGGTGGTTGTGGTGGGTAGTTTTGTTACCATTGGTACTGTTGTTTCTGGCCGTGGTAGCTTTGTTGTTGGTATTCTGTTGTTTTTGTTGTTGGTTGTGGGGGTTTTTCTATTATAAATGTTGTTAGTTGTGGTTTTATGGTTGTTGTGGTTTATTCTTCTTTCTGTTTAAAGTAATCCTGCATTGCTCTGATGGGATTATTTTTATAGCCTCTCTCAGGTATTTGAGTGATAAAGTTGCTTATATTCCCTGCTGGGTGCTTACAACGGCAATATGGTTTCTTAGGAGACAGTTGAGAAAGAGGAGACAGTTGAGAATGAGGAGACAGTTGAGAATTTCATTGATGGAAAGAAGTCAAACAAGGTAGTTCTGAATGAAGGGCATGTGGTCCATTCACTGGTAAAAAAACAATCAGGAAGAGACAAATGCAATTTCTTGGACATTTGAATCGATACAAAAGTTTTGAATGTCTTGCTCTCACTGAAAACATAGAAGACAAATGAGGCTGGGGTAGATCCTGAACAGCCTACTTGAAAAACCTTTGCAGATGGTTGATGGGAAAAAGACTAGGATAATAAATGTGTTTTGAGAGCATCTTAGCGGAGAGATGAATAGTGAACTGTAATCACTAAATTAAATGTCTGATTCACGCCTGGCACTTGATGATGGTTTTGATTCTCTGATTGAAGTTCACAAAAGACATGAATTAGATTGCTACATGACTCTTCTAATTTTATTCTTTTTTAAAATTGCATTTTAGTGGGTGGTTGGCTGGTGCTGTGGTGTGGTTTGCTCCTTCTTTCCTACCAAACGTCTATCGTCCTTACCTCTCCTCCTTTTTTGTGTTTGTTACTCTCTTCTAACACCTCTAATCTTCAGCACTTAAATGACCTTATTGTGTTGCAAGTGCCATCAAACTCTAACTAAAACTAAAAATTGTAGTTTCTTAATCTGTGGTATTGGTTGTATGGGCTCAAGAAATATGCCGAAATGCAAATTCTAAATGTAAACAAAACAAAAAAATACACCCATGGGGCAGTGCCACTGACTGAAGTGTTTTTAGGCCATTCCCAAGGGGGACATTTCTCGTTCAAGCACAGTAGAACTGTAAATGGGCTGACTCATGTCACGCTCTTAACTGTGCCTGATCTACAACAGGGATCTGCTGCTTTTTCTTTCCTGATCCTTACTGTTGTCGTTTTCCTCTACTTCTTTTGTATGCTTGTCACTGTCTTGTGACCTGCTATTTTGGGGTGCCTTGATAGTCGAAGCAGACCTTGTGCTGTTGAAGCTAGAGAGAGGTGAACAGTCTAAGTCTGATTCCCTGTAAAGACTTCTCTGTTGACACCCACCCCTTGGCGCTCATATGACCTTATGCAGTTGCGAGCACCATAAACCCTCTACTATTTTTTTTTTTAAATAGCAGGAAAAGATGCTTAAAATGGGCACAAGTTTTAAAAATTTTTAAAGTGTCTCCTGCTGACTATATACACGTCTGTTTTGCTGTAAATATGCTCTAGTTCTTTTCCGAAACTCAGATAATGGGTGGTTGACAGGCTCTCTAGTGTGGTTTGCTCCTTCTTTCCTATCAAATCCCTATCCTCCTTATCTCTCCTTATTGTCTTTGTACGTTACTCTCCAGTAACCCCTCTTATCTTTGGCACTTATATGACCTATCCATATGCAAGTGCCATAAAACTATCACTAAAGCTAACCTAAAACTCTGATTGAATCAACTTAAATCTGTTTTATTCTTTCTCTCCTTCTCTGAAGATGTTGGCAAAAAAGACTCCCTCCTATGTATCGAGCCATGTCAGAGGAGCATGGGGGGAGATTTGGGCCTGGACTGTTCCAACGTGTCTGTGATTGGTGCCTCGGTGCTGCATATAGCTCAGGTGAGATTTGTCGGAATGGCTGTCAAGGGTTGTGGGTTCGGGACTGTTTTTGGCTAGAACAGTCAGTGTTGCACAGTGTGTGCAT